ATGAGCTGTCCCAGACGATACAGCAGTTTTCAAACATGCTTGATTACCTCTTAGCCAGAAACTGAATGCACTTGCGGTTGGGGCACCTTGGCAACAAGTCTGAGACTAGAAAAAAGCAGTATCCAGTGAGAGCGCTTGGGAAACCGGAGGCGGGACATGGAGGAAGAGATGCAGCAGACACACACATACACAGAATTATATTATTAATCTAACTGAAATTGTGTGACGAGCTTCATGGGGACTGAAAAAGAGATAGAGTAACATTATAAGATGTGTTCGAAGACACACAAAATATAAACAAATCATCCCAACTGAGAGAGAACTGTCTCACGTGGCAAATAATTAATGTCATTGCGTATGTATCTTATGTTGTTCTTACCAGCCCTCCAGAGCCCTGTTGTTTTCCCTGACCTTTTGCATCTTTATTGTTTATTATTACTGTGTAGTTTATGTTAACATGGTTTGTCAACATTGCATTGTATGCAGTCGTGCCAGTAATGCCACTTAAACTGAAAAAAGGAGGTCTTGCAGCTTTTAGTGTAGCATGTCAAGGCTAGAGGTTGTTGATCTGATGTCTCAAGACAGCACTGAGGTAAATGCAGTTAAGAAATATCATAAAAGTTTAGTTGCAGCCTGTTATATTAAAATTTATTTAGAAAATTTCAAGTTAAAAAAATTCACAAACCACTATAACAATTATTGATTTTTTTATATTGTGGGAGAGAGGGTGGTAGAATTTAATGGTGTTACCCTTTAAACAAAGTCCCTGTATATCAAACATATGTGATCATACATATTCCTAATGTTTGGCGGCTCAAATACTGTATATTCCGTATAAATACAGTGTCCATGAAGTTAACGTTCTTCTGGCTGTTAAATTTCACTTCCATCAGATATGAGAGAAGTGTAATTTTACAGTGAGTTGAAATATCAAAAAAATAAAAAAATATTTAATTTAGAACTAGGCACCCTACTGATATTCATGAGAGACACATAGCTTTTGGGGACATCTCAGTGAGATGCCACTGAGTCCGATTACCTCATCTTCATTAGCAGGAAAAAAATAACACATTTAGCTTAAATTTAAATTAGTCATTTAATACAAAGGGGCACCACCCCCTAGGAACATATTAAGTGAGACACATTCCTATGTCTTGAATTTTACACAGTACTTAATTCTGCATACTAATGGGGACATTTGTCACAAAGATCATTCTGCTCCATGGTTGATGATACAGGTGTTGACTCTCTCCGTAGTGGTGAGACTGAAGAAACAGGAAGTCAAGACGAATCTTCATGTTACAGTTAGTTAAAATGTAAAAACTCAAGGCTACAGCTAGGAACAGGAAGACATGCTTCAGTGCATGTATATGTAAGTCCCTGAGGAGGGTAAACATACTGTGAGGCCAACTCTACTGCAAACTCTCCTGTCACTGCGGTCACTGCAATTGCATGCCAATTGTTTCTTATTCAGCAATGAGACAAGGCAAAATAAAAGCCCTATAAGTGTGTATGTAATCCATCGTCACTCTGTGTCACAAAGCAAATGAAAGAACATAAACACACTACTGTGAAATATAATTAACGTACCTGACCATGAACTGTATGTACTACAGGTGTTGCGGTGGTGCTACTGCTGGAATGAAAACCTACAGCGTAGGTATATACGGTGGGACTGCTGTTAACCCCTGGCATTAAGTATAAATCCAGTTTAAGTAGCAAAGAAGTAGTGAGACATTGTAATACTGCCACAAAACCTCTTAGAGGTACAAAGCGTGTGATAATGGTGGCAGACACATGGGTGGTTTTAAAAGGCACTGGGAAATGTTTTGTTGTTTAGGTACAAGAACTGGTTTAACATTATAAAATGCTATAAACAAGGCCACTAAATACTGCCTATGTCTTTGTGACACAGCTGTGGGTTGACGGTATTGTAGTAATGTCTTATTAATAATAATGTTGACAACAGAAGGTACAAGGAGAGAAAATTCCTCAGAGCGCAGACAAACAGAGAGAGATATTTCCCAGCGAGAGGGAGCGTTGGGGGCAAACAGTGATGTGCTGGTAGAATTTACACTACTGTTCAAATAAGATTTATTATTTATTCTTCCTTTAAACATAGGGATTTATATAACGATATCACAAGGTGTCTATGGTCTGTCATGACCCATTTTGCCAGGCTCACTGAGCTAGACAAAGGGGGAGAGAACTCTCAATTTAAAGTAATTTAAGAAATATTCTATATGAAATGAACTAACTACTTACATAATAAATTAATCTGTAGTCTGTAAATCAGTGGCGGTCGCAGTATTGTATGTATGTGTGGTGTTGTGTAGGCAAAACAAAGAAAAATCTGACCAAAATGGTTATAGTAATAATAATAATAGCGTGGCAGGTCTGGTGCAGACATAGGGAACAGGGCATGTGAATGGAGGAATCAAGCCCAACTACAAAATCCCCCATTTCTGTCTCTGGTCAAAAAGGCAGCACTGATTTCACCAAAAACAAGTGTTTAGCTCCTTGTCATGCAACAGCTTAATCGGCACACGCTTCTCATTATCAACTAAGGACAACGAAAGCATGATCAGAAAAAATTGTGGCAAACAAGCCAGAACCAGAAACAGTACTTGAATCCACACATAAGGGTTCGTTTCCAGTCCTATACGAGCAAATAGTTGCATAGAACACTGAAAAAATGGAAGAAGGAGGGTTGTTCAATTTACAAGTATGCATTTTGTATATGCTACATAATTAATTTATATTTCTCTCCAAAACATGATTAAATCTTTAAAAAGCATTTCAATATTGAGGAATTTAAAACCTACATGTCTCCATCATTTGAAGAAGAAAGGAAAAAGTTATGTTTTATCAGCGAAAAGGCCGCCTCAAGGGCGGGCTCCTGGACAGGAAACGGTTGCTGAAGACCTGCAGGCTCCGCCATTTTCTCCCTCGCTGTGATATTTTCTATGGATTTGGGCTTCTCAGGACACATAAAGGTAATAAAACTTGTCAAATATGAGCCAGTGTTAGAAGCAGCGTGTTTATAATCAAGATTTGAAAAGGTTTGGCTTTTTATTTGCCGGTAATGTCGAGTAAATCCAAGTCAGTCTTCATGCTAACGTTTGCGGTCATTCACTGGTTGCTAATGGTAGCGGTCATGCCTGCCCTCATTGAATATCTTTATCTTCATATCTTTATCTTTATTAGTTTTTATGTCTGTTAACGTAATGTGTGCACGGCAACTAGTTTGTATGGGGAAATTCATAGAACATAGGCCTAGGTCTATTCTCTTTTCAAATTGGCACCTGTCGGAGGTATTAAACAAGTTAACGAGTGTGGGGGATGGGTAACTCTGACATTGGCTTTGGTGAAACATGGCTGCTGTAACGAAATGGACTAGGCGATATTAAAGTAGGTATCTTAGTATCAATTCTGCCATGCTGAGGTTCAGCAGTGTACTTTAACGTCATGTTCAGCTGTTCCCATTATGGAGGTGATTATGGTCCGTTCAAATTAACCCCTTTGGGGGAAAAAAAGTAATGTTGTTAATGTTTTTTTTTTTTATATACAGTCCGTGACTTTTGGGGAGCCTACTACTTAATAAGAAACACACTCGATTTTTGAGTATTTATTGATTGATTTATTTATTTTTTTGCTTTGTTTTTTCTTTCGGTAAGACATGCTTGTTCTTTCGTGCACGTCCACTGCGCACAGCTCCATTGACCTGCTTCTCCCGCAGCAACATGCTACCCGACTCTCACTCGCCTTTCCGAGTTTGGATAGACGTTGCCTCCGAGATGTAGAATGTGTATTGTAGATGAGAAACACACATTTTAGGATCACTGACTTGTATCAGAGCAGACATGGCCTGCGATTTTAAAAAAAATTTATAAGGAGGGCAATACCAATATTTGACAGTAATATTCTCAGCTGTCGTTGTTGCTAGGCTTTCAGTGTTTTCCATTAATTAACTCGTATGGGTCCGCCACAGTCTGTCACAGGGAAAAAAAAAATATACCGTCTCTCATATCTCTCTGTCAGCCCCTCCTTCCCTGCACTCTCTCGCGCGAGTAGGCTCACGCACTTACACACACACACAAACAAAACACGGGCACATGGACAGGTTGCGCTGTAATGGTGATAAACATTTAATACACCGCGATCGCACCCCCCCCACCCCACCCGTCGGACGGTCCGATCGCACCCCTAGCCTCCTGAAAATCTGTTGGAAACACTGCCTTTAGTTCATTATCAACTATAGCTCTTTTTAACATTTATTTATTTTTTCTGTGTAGATATCCTCCATCCAAGACCAATATTTGATATAAGGTATGTCTCTGGGTGCTGTGTCAAAGGCTCTGTAGTAGTGGTGAGTATTACTATTCACTTGCTTTTGTTGGTTTACTGGATGTGTTTAAACAAGAATGAATGGATTTCTCATGATTATGATGATATTATTTTCAAAAATATTGTAATGATAATTGCTGTAAATCCTACTGTCTTTAAGGGTGTAATGTTTATTTTTTGTTGAAACTATTTTGGAGAAGTGTTTCTAATAATTAGTCTGTCAGGATTTCACAAAATAATTTAACGGCACCACAATTAAACCACATAAAATGGCTGTGATTGTAATTTTTTGTAATTTTTTCAACAATTACTAAACTATATTGCTTTAACTTTTATGATGGTAAGATTTATTGATTTCTGGATTAGACTGCATTGGTTTAACATAAGAGTGTTCCCTAATAAACTGGCAAGATTATGCATTTTTAAATTATGGTTATTTATAATATATAATTATGGTTTTAAATTATGATTTGCTCTATTTCTGTAGGATGTGTGTCAGTGAGTTGAACTTCCATTTGTTTGTCTCTCTTTCTCTAGTGAATGTGGCAGTGTAAAGGGTGTTCAGTCGCTGTGCAAAGTAGGTCTGAATTACTTCACCATTATAAACTCAAACACCCACATTTTGGACGCACCATAAATTATCCATGTACGTATTCTAAATGTCCCTGTACATTTAAGACATGGAATGCTTTAATCATCCATCAAAGTAGAGTGCATTCCACACAAGATAATCAGACACGAAAAGAGTTGTCCATTTTCAGCTGTCACTTATGTGCATGCAAAAATTTAGCTAATGAAAGGGAGTTTTTTGTTCATATCAACACACATCTGAAGAAAAATGAAAATGTAGGTTGCATGTTCGTTGGCTGTAGTTTTCAAACAAGTATTTATGGAACCTTTAAGTCTCATAAGAGTCGCCGGCACACACCTCACACATTATCTGATTTTCTACCAGGTATTGTAAAAACAACTACAATAGCATCTCCACCATTAGATGATTTGTTTGCTGATAGCCAGGATGAGGAGTGTGTGTTAGAGGAAGTTTCTGATTCTTCACGAGATCAACACAATGCACTTCCAAGTGCAATTGAGCAGCAGCTTGCAGCAGCCTTACTAAAGTTGGAATATTTAGTCCACGTGCCAGGTACAGCAATTGATGATTTTTTGCAAGAACTTTACTACTTGATAAACATAGCATCAGTCACAGTATCTAGAAGTGTTGTGACAGATATCCTTAAGCATCACAAAATACAAGTTGATGACTCTGTAGTTACAGAAATCACCACAGCAGTATGCTCATCTAACCCTGTTCCAAAAGCAATTGAAAAAGGCGGCCCTCTTAGTACTTCATATCAACGTAAACAATTTTATAAGGAAAAATTCTGTGTTGTGGAACCAGTTACTTACATACTTGATCATAAAAAGAAACACACCTTTCAGTATGTCCCACTGTTGAAATCTTTGCAACAAATTTTAAATAATAAGGCCATTGTTGATAAGATAATTGAAAATCATAGAGGACAGCAGGACACTGAACTTGACCCATCTCTTGAATTCAGGTCCCCTGAAGATGGTTTGCATTTTAACGCAAACAGCTTCCTAAATGCAGAGGAGTTACGGATAACACTGCGTCTGTATGTGGATGATTTTGAGACCTGCAATCCCCTAGGCACCTCTAGGAAAAAACACAAGCTTTGTGGTGTTTACTGGATACTAGGTAACCTGCCACCAGGCTCCCACTCATCTTTATCATCTATTTATCTTGCAGTGCTTTGCAAAAGTGTTGATGTAAAAACATATGGTTATGAAACAGTCTTGGAACCCCTTCTTCAAGATATTAAAATTCTCGAGGACTATGGTGTGTATGTGCCTTTATTAGGTAAGTCTCTTAAAGGTACAGTACTGAGTATTGTGGCTGACAACCTGGGCGCGCATGGTATTGCAGGGTTCATAGAAAATTTTTCTGGTGATTACGTTTGTCGCTTTTGCACAGCAAAGAGTTGTGATTTCAGGAATCAGTGTGTTGCTACCGGTGCTTTCAGCCTTAGAACTAGAGCTGGCCATGCAGATCATGTAAAATCATCTTGTGAGAAGGGTACACATTGCTTTGGAGTTAAGAGAGAGTGCATTTTTACCAAAACTCTGTCTCATTTTCATGTTGTCTCCGGTTTTCCGCCTGATGTTGCTCATGATATATTTGAGGGCATTGTGCCTGTTGAGCTGGCCCACTGCTTGGCATTAATGATATCAAAGAAGTTATTTACATTAGATGAACTAAATAGAGCTATACTGACTTTCCCCTATAAATGGTCCGACAAAACAAACAAGCCACATATTGTACCACAAAGTTTCTTGGGTCGGAAAACTATCGGTGGCAACGCTCATGAAAACTGGAGCCTACTGAGGCTGCTCCCATTTGTGATAGGTCCCCTTGTCCCAGAAAATGAGCCAGCATGGCTTGTGTTGATGGATTTAAAAGATATTGTGCAGTTAGTTGTTGCTCCTGTGCATACAGATGAATCCATCTCATACCTTGAAAGCAAAATTGTTGAGCACAGACAGAGGTACCAAGACCTGTTCCCTGGTGTCAGACTTCTACCCAAACACCACTATGTAGAACACTACCCGCAGATGATAAGGTGTTTTGGCCCTCTAGTCACAGTTTGGACAATGAGATTTGAAGCCAAACATAGTTTCTTTAAGAACATTGTTAAACACACAAGTTGCTTTAAGAATGTACCACTGACTTTGGCTTCAAAACATCAAATGATGATTGCATTTCACCTAAACTCACCGTCTTATGGTAAATCTTGCCTAGATGTATCTACTGTCTCCACAGTTCCAGTTGATGTACTGAAGGAGGAAGTAGCTGAGGCTATAAAGCTAAAATGCCCTAGCACATCTGAAGTGCATCTTGCTAAGAATGCATCAAGCAATGGCATAGCCTACAGCAATGGCATGATAGTTGCCCATGGATCAGTAGGTGGATTACCAGAGTTTGCTGAAATTAGTCAGATGTGTGTAATAAATGAGATGTTGTTCCTCATTGTGAAAGTGCTGTGTGGGTGGTACACTGAACACTACAGAGCCTTTGAGCTAAGCTTGTCACCATCCAGAGAAGTAAAACTTGTGGCACTCAGTGAACTCACTGACCCCTATCCACTGGCCTCTTACACTGTTGGATCAAGTCATATGGTAACCTTAAAAAGGCAGATTATCATAAAAGGTTGGTTAACCACCAAAATGGTGATTAATAGTAGGACTGAACAGTTAATTGCAATAAGATATTTTCAGTCCAAAGTAATTGCTCTTTTTTTTACACACGTATATTTGGTGATATGGTAATGTGCATGCTGAGTTGTATGTTTTGTTATTTTGTCACAAGACATTTGTCTTTGGAGTCTGTCAATCTGCCTGCATGTGTATCATCACATCTATTTTCTCTTCACATTCAGACTGTATTTTTTTGTGCTTTGTTGCCCATGGGAGTTTCTCTGAAATCTCTTTGTATATCCATTATAGGTCATACTGTATTGCATGCACTGATTTTTGTGGGTCACATCCTAGGCTTCTCATTTGTTTCCACCTCTTTCTAGTTTTCAGGATGAACTTTAAGCTAGTACAGATGGATTTTATCAGGTAGTAGTTGGGCAAATTACAAAATGAAAGTGGGACTAGAATCAATTCTCCAAGGCCTTCTTCAAGGCCAAGTGGTAAACTGAAAATGAGAAACCTAACATCATGTTGCATCAATTAGTGTATTGACACAAGTAAAATACTTGACATAAAACAATAAGCATTAATCTTTTTTTCCTTTTTGTCACTTTCCTTCTTTTTACAGACTGAGACGTAGAAGGATGAATGCCCCGACACTTCTCAAAGTCATCCTGGGTGACAACAGCAGCCAAAGGATGACTTTTCAAAATGGACTCCCAGGATCTGTTAATGAACTTGTTAGTGAGGTACAAAGACAATGTGGACTTGACTATGACTTCAGACTTCAGTTTATGGATGCACTATTTGGAAATGACTTCATGAACCTCACTTCAATGGATGAAGTACAGGATAGAGGGACAATTAGAGTGATTGCCATGACAGATTCCTCAACTCCTCAGTGTGCTAATATCCTTCCCACCTCAGCTGCCCATCACTCCCTTAATGAATCCTCATCCCTGTCCAGTGGATGTGTTGACACTGACATACTCTCTTCACCGGAGTCAGAGTCATCCGGCTCTCGGTCATCTTGGCCGAGCATCTTTCGTGTTCCTCAGTTTAGTTATGATGCCGAGTTGAAACTTGCGCAGGGCAATGCAGCTTACAGGGAAAAGGGTACATTGTTTATTCCTGATCCTAAACTGAAGTCGAACATTCTTGAGGGCCTAGTGCAAGAAATTGTTAAGTACAAACTTTATGTTTCTGACAAAGACTTTAACACAGTTGGAGAGGCTCTAATCTCAAAGCATCCTTGCCTGACTGAGAAAGGCTCCCTCTCTGGATATGCTGGATGGAAATGCAGCTTGAAGAACAAACTGGCAATCTACCGCACTCACCTAAGAAAGCTTGGATGTCCTGAGGTGACAATAAACTCACTCAAGCACAAACCAGAGGGCAAATCAAGCCCTGCTTTTGGCATTAAAAAACCAAGAAGGTCTGAAGTGAACTACTGTCCCCCCTATCCTACTGGAGAATCTGAGAAGAGTCTTGAGAGTGTGAGAATGGAGCTTCTTTCAGATGTTAAGAAGAAGAACAACAGGGAAGCAGTAAGGATGAAAATGGAAAAGACATTTGCATATAGGAGACAGGAAGTGGTTCGCGACACACCAATGATAAGAGACTTCCAGACGAGATGGCCAGCACTTTTTGAAGTAGGCGAGGTATGTGATTTATTCTCTCTCTCTCTCTCACTCACTCACACTCTCTCTCTCACACATTACAAACTAAAATTAAATCTGTATGATTCCTATCTGTTGATTTACCTTAATTTGACAAAGTCATGTAACTTACCTGCTGGCTGCTTAGCAGACCCTCTCCCAAACTAAATCAATTGTTAATCCTTAAGTGTTCTTGGGGATATTTCCAGCCACCCTGTTGTTTATTTTTTAAGCCATTTTGGCTGTGTTGAATGAATATAGCTAAAATTTGCAAGAAAATTAAAAAAAAATAATAATTGAAATTGAAATCTCAGTACCTTAATTAAGCCTAAAATGGCAATGCTATCAAAATCCAGGCTTAAATGTTCCTAGCGCCAAAACCTGCCCCATTGAAACCCATTAAAACAACTTTTTTTGATCCCACGTTTATCCTAACATAACATCTCGCACAGTATGGTAAACATACTGGCATTTAAAGGGTTAAAAACAAAAAATATATAATTAATATTTTATATGTATATTTCAGGCTGAAGTAGTTCTAAAAGACTGGCGTGTTTAAGTCGAAAAAAATATCAATATATACTATTTTTTTATAGCAGTTTATGGGAACAAGCCACGTTTTGGCTTTAGGAACATCCACAAAGTAAATAAGTTAAGAACACTTAAGGGTCACCAAGTTTCAGCCGGAAAATATTTGGAGGGTATAGATGATTTTTTAAAAAGTATGATCATGACATAATATAACTAGAAAATAAAGCAATAAAACAAGGAACTTTTTGAATTATTCTGCTCCTGTACAAATGTTCTAATTTAATTTTAACTTACTGTTGGTCATGGTTACTTGATTGGTGTTCGTTTTTTTATTTATTTTTTTATTAATTGCTGCCATATTGCATGTTGTCTGTAATCATTCTCATTTTCAGATAAATGCTGAATTCAAACGGATCACAACAATGCCCCTGCAGTCCAGATTTCTATCGCAATTAGATGTTCACTCCGAGAAACTGCTCAAAATGTTTAAAAACAGAGGAGGACAGATTGGCAGACGCCTAGGGGGCATCATTGCACCCATGGATGAAGTAAGTATACTCTCTGGGGGACAAACTCAAACTTACACAGACAAACTCAAGCAAAACAACTTGTGCTTCTGTTTTTCTGCCTCAGGATGATGACGTGGATCTGGGAAGAGAATGTGTCATAAAGGCACTCTGCGTTTACCTGAACGAGGACCCAGAGAATCTATTGAGAGAGTATGTGGTAAGTATTACTTAGGTTTAGTATGTTGATGTTATCTTTCATATTTTGTATAAGCTTTAAAACATCTACCCATTGTAATTACTTTACAGTCAGCTAACTTGTAAGATAATATGGTAGTGATCTTAATCTATACAAGTAGTTCCGACCAAGCAATCTGATTGTTCAACAAGACATTTAGAACGTGCTCAAATCAGCATAACAGCACGCCTGACTCAAAACTAACAATATTATTCCGCCATCTCATGTTGTTGTATCCATCTCCATGATAACCATCCATGATTCTTATTTTTATTTTTTAGAAACATTGTTACTCGTGAAAAAAAAATCTAACTAAATCAACCTCCTGTAGAGTGTAAAAAGAATGCACACTCGCAAAAACCTTTTTAAATTTGAGAGCAAATTGTCCATCAAAATGAATATATTTTGATACATTTTATTTTGTTGGTAATAGTTGTATAATCGCAATATTACCCGAGAGGGTGTACTTAAACGTCATTTGAGCATGACAGTGATGCGCTCAGGAGCAAGCGCCTCGGTCCCTACCCTCTTGGGTAATATTGCTTAAATCAAAGTGTGTGTTATGTGTGTGGTTTTCAGCCTCTATGAGCCACTTTGTGTTAATTTCTGTATGAAAGTGCCATATAAATAAAGTTTGATTTGATATCTTAATAAATTACTCAATACAGATATGCAGTATTCCCTATATGGACGTGGCATGTAGTGTAATCACACTTTGATTCTTTTTGTGTATTGTACAGGCAGCAGATGAATCCCTCCTCCAGGAATCCATTGAGGAAACCACTATGGGTATATACGTCTGGAAACACAGAGATGACAGTGAAAAACCAGAGGACATTGGCATTGTCCTCGAGTCCCAGATTGTGATGCAGGATATGGACAGTGTTCCCTTAGCTGCTGCCATGTTGTTTGGCCTAATATATTCTTTGAACTTAAACTACCCTGCTGAACTCAAGTATACCTTTGAAGTGCTGCAGAAGGTGGTCATGGAGCTTGAAGGCAATGCACTGTCCAAAAAAGCCCAAGTCCTGAAGAACAGACTTTATCAGTGAACTGGCTATCCAGGCTCTCGAGCTTGATTTCTTAAGACATACATTATGTCACCTACCTCTTCCAGTTGTTGGACTTTTCTTTTGGGCGGGTAGGAGGCTTTTTGTTTTTTTTTTAATGGAACTATAACATAATTTCCCCCCCCTTTTTTAGAGTTTGGGGTGATTTTTGTTTACTGTGAACATTGAAAAAATTATAGTGGCTTGTTTACGATTACCAGTGTTCACATTATGGAACACCCTGTGGTCATGGTCAGGCTGTGTGCTATGTACCATAGAGCAAAAGGACAGGTGTGTATTCAAATGAAAATTCTCTGTCAGTGTGTTGTATGTACATAGATGAGTTTTAATGTGTGGTGACCGTAGCTTTGGCTTCAGGTTCTGCTAAATGGTGTGCACAAATCTCCCTCTGTTATCCACACGAACCTGCACACATTTCTGACTCCAGGGACTCTTCTTTGTTGAAGGAAAAAAAAGGCTATCCAACTTGTTTGCTTGATTTCTTAAGACATGCATTATGTCACCATCTACCTCTTCCAGTTGTTGGACTTTTCTTTTGGGTGGGTAGGAGGCTTTTTTTTTTTTTTTTTTTTTAAATGGAACTATAACATAATTCCCCCCCCCCATTTTTAGAGTTTGGGGTGATTTTTGTTTACTGTGGACACTGGTAATTGCAAACAAGCCACTATAATTGTTTCAATGTTCACATTATGGAACATCCTGTGGTCACTGTAGCTTTGGCTTCGGGTTTTGGTTCACCAATAATGTTCTGTCTTTGTTGGGGAGAAAAAAAAGGTATTTTTCTGGTAATACTGTATGCATTATTTCATCTACCTCTTACAATTGTTTGATTTATTTGGGTGAGTGGGAGGCTTCTTTTTCCACTATTTTTTTATCAAACTGAAACAGACTACTACCCCTATTTTTAGGGTTTGGGGTGATTTTTCTTTAACTGCCGTTCCTTCTTGATGCTTGAAACAATGTTCTAATAAATATAAATGGAAATTTTCAATTAAATAGTGTTTACTTTGTTTTTTCACTGAATTGTCAATATATATGATTTCCCAGGTAGTACACAGCAAGTTGTATTTTTAGTCATTACGGATGTTTGTTATGCACTGTCTGGAGTTAATAATTGAAGATATGTCGGCCTATTACCACGTCCTTTTTTATTTTCCGTAAAAGATTTGGCTTGATTAAGTGGGGTTGGGGGTGTAGAAATTAATTTCTTAAATTACCAATCATCTTATAAAAGTAATTTAAATATTTAAAGTATACCAAACTTAATAGTGTCCAATTTACCTGTGGAAGTTAGGTTAGCTTCACGCAAAAAAATTATGTTGGTCCAACTGATGATAATTAAATATCATACACATTAAAGAATAGCGTTCATTTAACATAAAAAAATCAGTCAGTTTAGCAGAAGATAATCTAATATACTTAACATCAAATAAATATTTTAAATTTATGTAAGAAAGTCATGTTGGTTTAACGAATAATAATTTAATGTACAGAACATGAATATATCAATTTGAGTAAACATAACTTTATTATGTGCAACCGATGTCCATAATTTTTTTATGTAAATCCAAAAGACTTTTTTTTTCAGTGAAGAAACCAGTGAATGGATGTGCCACAACTGTCTTCAATTACACAAAGATTAAAAAATGGAAGTAATTGTTTTGGAGCCGAGGATTAACGGTTTAAAAGTCAGTGCGCATCTTCAGTTGCTAATGATAAAGAACGCACACTAAGCCCAAAATATTGTTGTGGTCATGAACTCAGAACTAATTTCAACAGCTACATTGAGACAATTACAAAAGCCTACTAAGAATTAAACATTTCTCTAAATTGGCTTGTTGTTGAAAGGTGCTGAGCAAATAAATTTGCTTTGCCTTTAATATCTAATCTAATCTAATATCAAAGTGCTCAAATCAATATAATGACAGAGCGCTGACAGGTGCGACTACAGCCATATCTTATTCATTAAAGTTCCTCCTTGTTTTGTTTTTAGGTGGTCGCAGCTCTTCAACGAAAAATTAGCTTTGTTTTTCCGTTTTTTTGCTCATAAAGCCTTTTGTAATGCACAGTGCTTAAGGGAATTACAGTGTGTGCTCCTTATACCATGCACAGTCCTAAAAGCCCTGCACGGTGTGTGCTCATAGCAGGTAGTACATAAGAGGAAGTGGCTTGCTGGTTTTATACAACAATGCATGGATTAAATTTTTTTTTCTTTGCCACAACACTGGAGTACCACAGCCACATTAATATCGACAGTGATGTTATACAGTTTCCTTTACTGTAATAAAAAAGCATTTTAGTGCTCCAATTGCAGTATAAAGAGAAGCGTCTGTGTTACATTTCACATGTATGTGCTTGTAGGTGTTGTGTATATCCTCACTTACATGCTTATCTCCTTAGAGAAACAAATGAGCAAACTGTTAGCTGCGGCTCCCATGTGTAGGATTTTCTCGACAGCTGCTTTCATGTTGCTGACATTTGCTTAGGCTCTGTACAACCGTGATCAAATTAGCACATCAGAAACTTTCTTTAGGGTGTTGGAAAGCTCAATAAACCATTCCTGAGTGTATTTAACAATTCTGATATTGATTCTTGGCTTCAGTGAATCAGTGAGTCAAAGGAATCATTTTCACATGCAGATGCTTCTAAGAGATAACTACTAAATCAGCGTTGATATCATATAAAAGAAGAAAACAGACTTTACACTAAATAAACGTAGTGTGGTTTAACTGTGGTGCAGTTCACATTTATAATTCATTGTATCTGCACAACTGAATAAAAAAATCCAAGGCTTGTCTTGACTGTAAATCTTTTTGTATTGTAATCTCGGCCTGTAAATCATCTCTGATAGCTCTTCATTTGGTACAAGGCAGGCTTTTTGGATGCTACAAATCAGTCTGAGCAAGTCTTATATTTACAAGCAGATAAATGCTTTATGAGTATCTCAAAATTAGAGAAAAAGTCAGGTGTGCAGGACATCAATCAAAAACCCTGAGATTTGTGTGGGAAAGAAGTCTATTTATTGGGGGAAATGGGTAAAAGAGGGAGTGCATACTTTGGGAGAACCTTACAAGGATGAATTATAGCTTTCAGTTGATGAGATGTGTGCTCAGTATAATTTGAATTATAAGGATGTTTGAAGATACATGCAAATCAGAAGCAGTGTAATGGTGTTGAGATGCACAAAGGAACAAATGGGATTGAGGAGCTATCATCAAGCATAAATAGCATAAAATGTTATGTCAACTGAACAGTGTTATTTGTGATAGTTTGAGAATTGCATGGCAAAGAGACTTGAAATGTGAAACAGATAAGGCGACATGGTCACACATTGTATCGAATACAGGGAGGGATATAGCAGAAGCAAGGGGAAGAGGTATCCTATTTAAGGTTTTTGAGTTTACTACACACCCATCAAATTACACTGGATGGGACTGAGCCAGGATAAGATGTGCTGGAGGTGTAAAGGAGCATAAGGCTCCCTTCTTCTCACACTGTGGGATTGTCGTGTCACACAGCCACTGTGGGGCAGGACCCTACAGCATATGGAGGATAGTCTTGGGAATCAAATATCAAGAACTTCGAGACTGCCTATTCTGTGAGGCGGAGGAGTTGAATAATGCAGAATTATAAATTGTATGCATGGGAATTGTTTCACAGCTCAGATTTGTCCTCAGTTTTGAGAGTTTTGAAAGGCCTTCCTTTATTAAGGAGTATCACGATTCTTTAATAAAGACTACATCTTATGAAATAATCATAGCAAAAAGTGGAGTAAAGATATAATCAGGTGGGACAATTTTATTAAAAAACTCAAGATACAAGAAAAATGAACTGGTAATTGTATTTGTGATTTTGTGCATCGTTGACGTATGTGTGAATGCATGTATGTACTGTATGTCTAAGATATGTATATTTCAGTGTGTGCATGAAATTAACACGTTCATACAGAATGTTATATCATTCACGCATATAATTTTCCCCCACTTATGTGCAAATATGTCTTGTTTGCCATGTGTTATTATGTGGTTGGTGGTTTAAAAATATTAAATAAAATAAAAAAGAATATACCCTGAAAAAGTCATTCCAAGCCATTTGCTGTCAGTCCTGGTTTAGAAATGTTTGTGCGTGCATTACTGTGAAATGAATTGTAAACTAAGTTAATCTCACATTTACTGTCAGCAGAGCACTTACATACAGAAAGATGACATAGCGATAGTACTATACTGGTTATCTCTAGCTTCAACATTGGGAGAATTTTCATTTAAATATATGACAAACCTTGCAGGCAAAAGAAATGTCTTTGACACAAATGTGAAATAAATATATTCGGCTTAAACCTGTAAAATGGAATATTCTGAACTATCAGTACTTTGAAGAACCTTTATATTGCTCATTATCCAGTAATTTATCTCTGACAACATATATTCATCCCAAGGTCACCTCTGTTAGCCTCTAATAAATGTATTTGTCCTCAACCTGTTTGTTTATATTATAGTTGCATTTAGGTTGTATATTCTCTTTCTGTTAACATCTCAGTTAAACAAGGTTAAAGGTGAAGGTAGAAATTCTAAACAGGACCTAAAATGTATGTCTTTGTATTTTATTATGTCCCATTTTGTCAAGTGTTACAACTTTACTTTGCATTTCCCTAATAGGAGTAGACTATCATAAATCTCTGGGTTGCTGTAGCCAGCCACTTCACTGAGCATTGCAAAGTAGCTTCTTCATCTAAAGTTGCCAAGTGTGAGCCAACCTCAAGCCACGTGGCACTGTGCCTTACTCGTCTTCTGAGCCAGTGATTGTCCTGTTCTTTGCACTTAGTTACCGCTAGTGTTTGTTTGTCGTATTTTGTGAACAATGCATTGATGATTTCACTGTAGAAATCAAACCTATGGTACTTTTGAGGTTGTATGTTTTTGTATTACATTCAAATGGTGTCCATTAGACTCAAGCCATTTTTCTGCACAACCATAGTTTACGGTTGAAAAATGGCAAAAAAGAAAACTGTGCACCTGCAAGGAGGCAGGACACAGTTTTATATGCTAAGGTAATAAACCCATAAAAGTGTTCTGTTCAACACAGAATTAG